TGCAGAAAAGGAGATAAAATTTCATATTAATTTCAAATTCCCAATTGGGGGTTAAAGAGCTTTGTGTCTCGCACTCTCTTCTTTGAAGATAATTCAAATTCATTCTCTGGTGGAGTTTTTTGAAGGGATCGTGCCCATAAGACGAGGATTAATTCGATCTCGTTTAATATCCTGTACAACCAAAAATATCATTATATAATTGGTAATCTTATAAACAAACAATATCATAATAAATGAAAAGACAAATAAATTTTAATTAATTTAAACATGGAAAAAAAAATTGAGTCCCAAGACTTGTAGATTATGATTTATTTTGATTTGTTTAATATAAAGTTGAAAGAAGTGTGAAAGGTTTCATGTAACAACAAAGATAAGATAAACAATAAACATATGCTCAACCTGGCCCGACCCCAAACCGACCCACCATGTGGTCAGGTTAATTGAAAGTTGGCCCAATGGGTTAATTGGGCTTTAGCCCAATCAAAATTTTTTGGGCTAAAATGAATTGTTACTAGAGTGAACCTATTTAAATCTCTCAAATTCTTTTGCAAACCCCAATAATAATATTGTAAAACTATTAATATATTATAAATTAATAATAAATAAAAAAGAAATTCATCTTCTATAGATAGTAATAATGAATAATTTTTGTGGTTCGTTGTTCTTGACTATGCACAAATTATACGTTCAAGAGGATATTAGCATTTGATCGATTTAAAATAAAATTTCTCTATATACTTTTTTAATTCAATAATTGTGCATATGTACATGTGTGTGTATATATATGTATGTTTGTATACGTGCAATAACAAAAACAAAATACGTAAAAGGATTATATAGACAAAAGGTAGAAGAATTGCATACCATATGCTTGAGAGCCATGTCTAATGAACTCTTAGACATCATGCTTCCAAAAGCATTTCCATGAGAAATTGAACCTCCTCGAGTCTTTGTTTTTGTTTCTGACCTTTCTTGATCACCTATTGAATTTTTTCTAGCGTTCATCATCTTCTCCACCATCTTACTCCCTACAAAATTATTTTGTGTTCCATTATTTCCAGAATGAACCACCATTCTCTTCCCTTCACCTTCCTTGGCCTCAACTTTTCGACCCCTCGTGACACTTGGCGAGCACGATTGCCTCCTTGATCTAGCTACAAGTTGTTGATCATCCGTCTTTTGTTGTGCCAATGACACCGGCGTTGTTGAATTAGGTCGACTCTTGGTTGCAGAAGTTGAACGATCGGTATTGGGTCGACCCCTTGTAGCAGAAGTTGAGCGATCAATATTAGTCCTTAAATTAGGGGGTGTTTCATTGGAAAACCCTGGAATTTGAGCAGGAATTGTTGACCGCATCGAGGGTGACACTCCCCGACTTCTTGGCTTTGTCTTTGTGGTTGTACTTGCATCTGTTATTGTTCCCGTTAGGGTTTTAGTCAAGTTTGAAGTGAGGAAACTATCGATATGATTATTGGTGATTCTTGTTGTGTTTTTGTTGGTGTTCATGTTTGTTTTTTTGTTGTTTAAATCAATAGTTAATGGTGTTGTTTTTTGGTTCGTAATTGTTGTTCCTTTGGTGGTTTTGGTTTGAGTTGGAGTACTTGGTCTTTGACTAGGGGTTATTGATCTTTGAGGGACTTTAGGTTTAGGTTTTGGAGTCTTTGGCCTTCCGATGTTGCTTGTCTTTTGTGCTCCTGAATTGCCTGCAAACTATACTTAAATATATTACTTATACGTCGAATTAACAGTTTGTCTTTCTTGCGAACGTTTATATTTTTTTAATATGTAAATTTCATGAAACAATATAGGTAAATATTAAAAAGATAAAAATTCAATTAAGTCTGTCTCTACTGCAAAATGTTCAACAATATTTTTTTTATCTTTTAGCGTAAGGAAAATAAAACAATAAGATTAAGTAACAAAAGATGAAATTAAACATACCCTTGAAAGAGGTTGAACAATTGGTAACTCCCTTTGAATGACAATTTCCGGGGCACCGGTTGCTTCCATTTCTAAGGATGGAAATAATGGAGTGGCTGGTGGTGTCTTTAACCTTCATAAACAATACATCCATCGAATTAATAAATATAAAGTAATTTTCTTAAGCTAAGTTTTGCTGATGTTGAATTTAATATTTACTAATTAATTTATCAATTAAGTACCAATCATAATCATTTTTCTCCTTCTCCTTTTCTCCAAACAAGTCATATCCTGACCCTTTCTTACCAGATCCAATTCTGTATAGTGCATAATTTCCTGTAAAAAACAATAAAAGATATATATAAGAGAATAATACGACCGAACAAGAGGTAACATTACCCATTTTTGTACCAACTATTGGATCCTTTCAATAATGTCATCGACCTTTATTGTACACGAGGTAACGTTATCCCATTTTATACTAATTAATGAATCACTCCAATAGTTTCATCTACGTCTACTTTACAAGAGGAAGCATTATGTTTTCTTATACCTATCATTGGATCACTCGAATAGTTTTGACTCTTTGACAATAATTTGTTAGGCGTCGACGAATGTAAACCCTAGTAACATAATAACTCTATTGGACATACATAAAAACATAAAGAGTAGAGTACCAGGATTCGGCTCAAACTCATCGGAAACTGGCTGGAGGAGGCTAGCAAGTCGATCTTTTTCACGTTTATGCAACTCCCTGAAGAGAAGAAGATCTTCATCTCTATTATCTTTTCTTTGGGCTAATGGCATCGAAGGGATCTTCATCTTCCTCCCACCACCACTGTTCATATTGATTCTTATGTTTGTTCAATTCTTTCTTGAAACTTTGTTTTAACAGAAGAATGAATATATAGGAAAGTGATATAATGAATTGAATAATTAATGGAATAAAAATGGAGTGACATTTGGAATGGAGGCCGGCCATGAAAAGGTCTCTGTCATTAAGCCAATGCAAAGCTTCCAAAATTCCAAATTCATAAGAAGCTTTGTGATGAAAAAATACATAGATTCCTCTAAGTTCACATTTGGCATTGTTCAATCCAATCAATAGTGTCACCTTAATTAATAAGACAAATATGAAATGCCTTAATTTCTTTGTTTAATTTTAATGGGAAACTACCACATATGATATAGCTATTTCAATAGATTAATTTTATTTTTTGAAAATGGGTTATTCCATATGATTTTTCGTTTTGAGCTAAATAAATAAATAATTAATTAATTACATATTTTNTCTAAGGATGGAAATAATGGAGTGGCTGGTGGTGTCTTTAACCTTCATAAACAATACATCCATCGAATTAATAAATATAAAGTAATTTTCTTAAGCTAAGTTTTGCTGATGTTGAATTTAATATTTACTAATTAATTCATCAATTAAGTACCAATCATAATCATTTTTCTCCTTCTCCTTTTCTCCAAACAGGTCATATCCTGATCCTTTCTTACCAGATCCAATTCTGTATAGTGCATAATTTCCTGTAAAAAACAATAAAAGATATATATAAGAGAATAATACGACCAAACAAGAGGTAACATTACCCATTTTTGTACCCACTATTGGATCCTTTCAATAATTTCATCGACCTTTATTGTACACGAGGTAACGTTATCCCATTTTATACTAATTAATGAATCACTCCAATAGTTTCATCTACGTCTACTTTACAAGAGGAAGCATTATGTTTTCTTATACCTATCATTGGATCACTCGAATAGTTTTGACTCTTTGACAATAATTTGTTAGGCGTCGACGAATGTAAACCCTAGTAACATAATAACTCTATTGGACATACATAAAAACATAAAGAGTAGAGTACCAGGATTCGGCTCAAACTCATCGGAAACTGGCTGGAGGAGGCTAGCAAGTCGATCTTTTTCACGTTTATGCAACTCCCTGAAGAGAAGAAGATCTTCATCTCTATTATCTTTTCTTTGGGCTAATGGCATCGAAGGGATCTTCATCTTCCTCCCACCACCACTGTTCATATTGATTCTTATGTTTGTTCAATTCTTTCTTGAAACTTTGTTTTAACAGAAGAATGAATATATAGGAAAGTGATATAATGAATTGAATAATTAATGGAATAAAAATGGAGTGACATTTGGAATGGAGGCCGGCCATGAAAAGGTCTCTGTCATTAAGCCAATGCAAAGCTTCCAAAATTCCAAATTCATAAGAAGCTTTGTGATGAAAAAATACATAGATTCCTCTAAGTTCACATTTGGCATTGTTCAATCCAATCAATAGTGTCACCTTAATTAATAAGACAAATATGAAATGCCTTAATTTCTTTGTTTAATTTTAATGGGAAACTACCACATATGATATAGCTATTTCAATAGATTAATTTTATTTTTTGAAAATGGGTTATTCCATATGATTTTTCGTTTTGAGCTAAATAAATAAATAATTAATTAATTACATATTTTTTCTATAATTATCCATATATTCATTAGAGTGTCAATGAGTGATTTCACTTATGGCAATTAATATGTTTGCATTATTTCAAGTCTTCGTTTCAAACTTTTTATACAAAATGTAAATCAATGTGTTTAAAAAAGAAAAAAAAAAAAATTGGCTTGTGGCTAGATGGCAAAACTTTAGGTTATCCGGAGGTCTTGTGTTCGAGCCTCACCAAGTAGCCATTTGCCATATATGTGACTTACCTGATCCATTGAATTTATAGGATGTTTAATGGACTTCAATGATTAGTTGAGGTACACGCAAGTTGGTTCGAATACTTCTCTTTATTTATTTATAAATATACAAACTGACGGAACACTACGTTCTTATTGATACGCAACTCATCTCTTTCCTAATTATCTAGGAGATTTTTCTCTTCATAATGGGCTTGAGCTTCAAGGCTGAGAAATTTATAATTGGGCCAATTGGGCCCATTATGTTGGTGGGCTGGACCAAGCCTACTGGCCCTGTCCCCAGTCCCACTGGTCCATACTTTCACAAAACCTAACCAAAACAAGAACCTTTTCCATTTTCTTCTTCTTCTTCTTCTTCTGTAGAAATAAAGCAATGCTGGGTTCAGCATTGCGCAGAGTCACCAGGCTCTGCTCTTCTTCTTCTTTCTCCTCCTTTATCATCTTTAACAACGCCACTAACACTACCTCAAGCAGGCTGCTTCTTCTGCCTCATTATCAACATTTTTCAACTGCAACAACTGTGCCAGCAATCCATGAAACCAGCAGTTTGAGGAACAAGCTGTACAGAGACACACGAGCAAGACGACGAGTAGTCCGACGTCGTTTCGTTAAGAAAAGTAGTAATGTTACGACAAATACTTATGCAGCAATCGAGCTGGCTTTGGATTCGGTGGTGAAGGTTTTTACAGTTTCCAGAAGCCCCAATTATTTTCTTCCTTGGCAGAACAAATCCCAACGAGAAACTACTGGTTCAGGTTATTCCTTTCTCCATTTTCTTCCTTGAATTTGTGCATTTTAAGCCTCTTGACTCAAAAGTTTTAGCTTTAAGTCCAACAGCTTCTCGAATGAAATGTGGATTAGAAAAAAATATTGGAATTTATGCTCAACACACTCAATTACATTGCTATTAAGCATGTTAAGTTACCATATGGTTAAAAAGTTTTTAGCTGAGATAGGGACTCAACAGAAAATATTTAAGTCCATCAGCCTGTAACGTGATGCGTGTGTTAGACAGATTAGTTCAGAAAATAGATTTCCAATAACAGAGAATGTGAGGGATTTGAATTTGGGACGTTTAGCTCTAATACTGTGCTAGGTTATCACTTTATTAATATTTAAGTTCAACATTCAGCATCATTCAAGACTTATAAGCGCCATGGTAGAAAGAAGATGTAAGGAGAGCATTTGAAAAAAGTTGATGCACACAACACACTTGATTGTCATTTTGTTGAATGAACCTATTTAGTGGTAAAGTTAGTATTAGGAAACGGTGTTCTGGTCCATTTGCGTTAAAATTTGGTTAGATGTGCAAGATTATTTTTGAGGTGAGGTGAGGAGAGTTTAATATTATAATTGTTGGTTTTTCAAATAAATGTAGGATTTGTTATTCATGGAAAAAAGATTCTAACAAATGCTCATGTGGTGGCGGATCATACATTTTTGATGGTAAAAAAGCATGGTGGTTCTACCAAATATAGAGCCCGAGTTGAAGCTGTGGGTCATGAATGTGACTTGGCTATTCTTGTTGTTGAGAATGAAGAATTTTGGGAGGGTGTGACATTTTTAGAGCTGGGAGACACTCCATTTCTTCAACACGCTGTTGCTGTTGTTGGATATCCTCAAGGTACCTCCAATACATTATAATCTCTTATTTTTTTAGAGGTCTCATCTTTGGTGGGGGTGTAAATTATTAATGTTGTCTATAATGTTGTGTTCTTTGGTTACAGGTGGTGACAACATTTCAGTAACTAAAGGAGTTGTTTCGAGGGTTGAACCAACCCAATACGTCCATGGTGCTACTCAACTGATGGCTATACAGATTGATGCAGCTATAAATCCTGGCAATAGTGGTGGCCCGGCAATTATGGGCAATAAAGTTGTTGGTGTCGCTTTTCAAAACCTTTCCGGTGCTGAGAATATTGGGTAAATCTTTTTTGTGGTCTGTCTCAAATGTATCTTATGTTTATATCTAGGGAGCAAACAGATTCAGACTAAAATATATTTATTTTCATCTAGCAAAAAATTATCGTGCCCTGGCTGAATTTTTTTTATCTTATCGTCTTTCACAGCTATATTATTCCTGTTCCAGTTATAAAGCATTTTATAATTGGTGTTGAGGAAAATGGGAAATATGTTGGATTCTGTTCTTTGGGACTATCGTGCCAAACCACTGAGAATGTTCAACTTCGAAAATTCTTTGGAATGCGACCCGAAATGACTGGAGTACTTGTGGACAAAATTAATCCTCTATCAGATGCCCATAAAATCTTGAAAAAAGATGATATTGTTCTTGCATTTGATTCTGTGCCTATAGCAAATGATGGGACAGGTACCAACTCTGTACTTCTTCTTCGTGATAATTTTACATAAAATTTTATTTTGTTCTCATTTAATTTAGTAGTTGTTACCTCATTTGAAAGATAAGTAACCTAAACTGAAGTTAGGTCGTTCAAGTAAACAAATAGCCACATTTTATGCTATACTGAGATGTTCTTATTTGGTATTGCTTTTCTTGTTTTATAAAACTGTGCTTGAATCTTTGATTGCCCACTGCTTGGGAAAAACGCAACATTTTTTAGATCTTAATTAGAAGCAAAAAATGATACAAGTTCAAAAGTTTTTGTTACTTTCCTCTCTTGATGTCTTTGACATCTTTGGTTTTCCCTTATGTTCTTAATTTGTAGTCTTATTCACAACATTGCAGTTCCTTTTCGTAACAGAGAACGGATAACATTTGATCATTTGGTGTCTATGAAGAAACCCAATGAGAAATGTTTAGTTAAAGTCTTGAGAGATGCCAAAGAGCATGAATTCAGTATCACACTACGACCTGTAAGACATTGTTATCTTTTCTCTTGATTCTTGAAACTTGATGATATTAGTAGCTTGAAGATTCATTATTTGATAAATATGTTGAATGTAATGTGTTGGGATTGATCCATAAGTTTGTTGATTTTGCAGTTGCAACCTCTAGTTCCAGTGCATCAATTTGATAAGATACCTAGCTATTACATATTTGCTGGACTGGTTTTTATTCCGCTTACCCAGCCGTATCTTCACGAGTATGGAGAAGATTGGTATAACACTTCCCCACGTAGATTGTGTGAACGTGCACTGAGAGAGCTGCCTAAAAAGGCTAGTGAACAACTCGTTATTCTTTCTCAGGTCTGTTTTCTTCTTTGGCTGCAATTCATTGCTTTTAAAGTTTCTCTGACCACGTTTTCCTCAATTGGAGTTATTTTTCCTTGTATATTTTGCATGTTGGAAAATTGCTTGAGAATCAATTAAATTACTCAGTGAACCCATTCTTTTTTAATTGAAGTTTCTTTTGGCTGATTCAACTTCTGGTCACTTTTAATGATCCTGCTAATGACCATTTTGACTACCATTTTTTGGGTTGTACGGCATGAACATGCCCTCTGATTTTCTTACCTTTGATCACATCATAATAATTTATTATCTTATCTTAGAGAAACATTTTGGGTTTGAGGGTTTTGCTGGATTCAAATTTTAATATCCCGTTGCTTAAGCCATAGAGTTTCTGCTTTACCTAGTAACAATAATCACTTGTCTTGTTCAGGTACTGATGGATGATATCAATGCCGGGTATGAGCGTTTTGCAGAATTACAGGTGCGCTAATTTTAAGAATTAAGTATAGTTATCAGTCATATTCAAACTTGCTTTGATGGGTCATCACCTACTGGCTGTCATACCATCTTCAACTCCCAATGAACCAAGACGTTTATGAATGCATTTTTGAAGCAGAATATGGATGGCCAACCTTTACTTTATTGCCACTTAAGCTCCTGGCTTACAAGTTGAGAAATATAACCAATTATATCTGATTGACTGATTTCAATTTCCTAGCATTTGATCGTAGAAAAGCACAGGACTGCTTTCATTATACAGTGGTCAATATGTTTTTTTCTGAATGATCTCAATTGTGGTTTAACAGATTAAGAAGGTCAACGGAGTGGAAATTGAAAACCTGAAGCATTTATGCGAACAAGTCGAAAACTGTAGTGCAGAGAGCTTGAGGTTTGATTTGGACGATGACAGGGTAATTGTATTGGACTATCAAATGGCAAAAATCGCCACATCTAGAATTCTAGAACTTCACAGAATACCGTCTGCAATGTCCAGTGACCTTGGAGATGAAGAGAACCCAGGAATTGAGTTGGCCTGCACAAGCTGAATTGTCTTCAGAATACAGTTGCAAAAAACAAACACCGACAAAGTAAAATTTTGGTATTGTAATCGAGTCAGTAGTAGCTTTTACTCATAGTTACATATTGATCTAGGAATAGCATTATTTCTATGTCAACATTACCATGTTTGAGGTATACTTTCAAGGAGATACCAATAACAACAATCTATAGTCAGGGTTTACAGAATTCTTACTTCCATGTGTTGGAAGTAATTTAGGAAATATAAAACATAGAAGTCTCATTAGTTTTTGTTCATCGTGTTTGAACTATTATTTATTGCTTTAATCCGAGTTAGATTTTCTCTCGATCAATCCAAGCATCTGTTCAATGAAGTTTATCTTTTACTTGAATAAATCGTATCAAACGCAATCTGGACCATTGTTCTCTGACTAATACCTGCTTATGAATAAAAATTTTCAGTCCTCCACAAGCAACTAGAATCTTATATTACCTTAAAGATTACTATGAATCTTTAGAAAAATGTGTTTGGTTAATTGGTGGGTATGTTATATTAACATGTTTGGCTAGAAGGAATAAATTGGTGGGTATGTTATTTAAATTATTAAGGGTGCGTTTGGTTTATCATTTTGGATAAGATTTTGGGGATAGTATTGGGTTGTTGGATAGGGGAGTATTACAAGGTAAATTTTAAAAATTTATGAAAAAGCCCTTAGGTTTACTAATTTAATTAAAGACCCTAATATGTAAAATGACAAAAACACCCTCGGAATTTTTGGTGCCAGATTTCGGCCACCACCGTCAGAATCTGGCTGAAAAATTTCGTTACGGCACAGACCGGTCGAATCTGTGCCGTAACATGTCGTTATGGCCTTTTTCGGCCAGATCCACCACGATCTAGACGGCAAAGGCCAGATCTACGGTCTGTTATGACCGTCGACGGTTGGAAAAGGCCAAACGACGACTATCTTTGGCCGTCAGCGATGGCCAAAGATGTGGCCGTCGTTTTCGGTCAACGATGGCCAAGATTTGGCCTTCGTTGACCGTCAACGATGGCCATTTCTTTGCGACGGCCAGATCGGTGAACTTCCAGCCATTTCTGGTCGGAAGTTAGGCCGTTGTACGGATTCCGGCTATCACCGACGGTGGTTGCCGGAATCTGACAAGTTGGGTTGATAGGGGTGTTTTTGTTAATTTTTAAACTTTTTTTCAGGGGGTATTTAGTGAAATTAATAACCGTATGGGGTCTAAAAGTAATTAAAAAATAGGGTAATATTTCTGGAATAATGTGCCAAACATTATTTGGAGAATAGGATCCAAAATATGGATAAAAATACTAAGCCAAACATAGCCTAAATTGCCCTTTTTTTAAATATTAATATAATATTATTTTTATTATTGATTTTTAAATAATTTTTCTAACCCCCAATATTTCAGATTTAGCTAAAACACCCCCGCTTATATAAAACTTTAATTTATGATAAAATCACCCCCACCCCTTTCCGTCACCGCAAACCACCATCGAAAGTCACCAAAAATCGTCGTGAGTAGCTCACCGTGACCGTAAGGCTTCGATATGGTCGTTTCTTACCATTTTGATGGCCGAAAACGGCCATATCTGGCCAGAAATGGCTAGATCTATTTTAGCCATTTCAGGTCAGATCGATGGATATGACCATTAACAGCCAGATTTGCAGCCATTATCGACCAGATTTGGCCTAATATGGCCGTTTTTTGCCATCAATATGGCTAGAAATGGCCATATCGAAGCCCCCCCAAGCCTCCGAATGACTCTTGGTTATTTTTAGGGACTCCGACGGCGGCCCATAGTGGTTGGCCCACTGTTGGCGGTGGTGGCTAGGTGGCGGTAGTGGTCTGTAATTTGTTTTAAATATAAGGGTATTATTGTCCAAAAACTTAATTAAACAAGGGTAAAACTGAAATGATATATTAATGTAAATTGATTTTAAAACAGAGGCATATTGTCCAAAAATTTTATTAATAAGAGATAGAATTGTAACAAAAATAAGATTACTTGGTAATCTTATAATACCTAAGAAAATGGAGGTAATCTGATTACCTCCAATATTATCAACAATAATAACTATTGGTAATGCAAGATTACCGGAATTTTATATTATTTAACAACCAAACATGGTAATCACTAATCAAGTAATATAAGATGACATAACCCTAGATTACCTCCAACTAAACGCCCCCAAGGGACATCTAAGTTTTAACAGTTATTTACTGCTAATTTTAACGGAAAATGATAAAATTATTTAGATGATTTTTAATATATTTTTTTAAGTGAATCTTGTTCTTAAAGTCTAAATTTTAAAAAATTAAAAAAAAAAAAAAAAAAAGTGAATCTTGTTCTTAAAGTCTAAATTTTAAAAAATTAAAAAAAAAAAAAAAAAGACCAAAAGCAATTTTTTTACTAAATTTTTTCATTACAAATTCTAAATCTGTTTAATTGATAATATCCCTAAATTACCACTTGGTCAAAAAGCTCTAGCTTAAAAATAAATTTCTGATAACAAATAGAGAATTAATTGAATGATATTTGAACGTGAGAGATTTGAATTTTGGGACCTTAAGCTTTGATACCCCGTTAGGTCATTGTTTTACCATGCTTTTAAGTAAGAGTTTAACATTAATATTTAAGTTAAACATTGAGTATCATTCAAGACTTCTAACAAGAAATTTTTCATAAACAAAAAAATGATATTTTCTAAGTTTTACTCGAACAAATCATATCAAACAGAACTTATTCGGATGTATAAGCTATCAACTTATATTGACGGGTTTCTTCTACATAACGAAATTCTCCAACAACTTAGATCAGAAAAGATCGAATTTAGGAGTTGATTAAGAAGTTAATTAACACAAGACTCGTTTTAACCCCATTCCAATTCTTTTAAGGCAATCAAATATTAAATTAAACTTTAATCCATATCTTAATTTAGTGCTTGGTGGACCTTGCTCTCCACGAAACAATAAGATAATCTTATAACCTAATTTAGTTTTATATTAATATTATATGATAGACGCAAGTTAACATAACATCCAAGAAAGCTACACTATAATATAATATTCTATAATTTTATATTAATGTATCAATACAGCTTTGTATAGTTACATTTTGTAAATCGACGTTATTAATTTTGAGATTTTTTTTCATATTACTATGAAATTGATAGTTAGTACTATATAATTAGAGTAAATGCATATGTTCACACCCAAAGTTTAGCGAAATTGCAAGTTCTCACCCTTGGTTTCATTTGATTAAACATCATCACTGACTGTTCAACTAAGGGTGGGAATCTGGAAAATTAACTTGGGCTTTTTATCGGGCAAGTGGTAGACGCAAATTCAGGCTTTGATTTTTGGCAAAGGGAAAGGAAAAAAAGGCCAAAAAACATATCCACACAAGGAGAGTCTGTTGCTATAGTTCGATGGTGTTGGTTGCTCTCTGATCGAATAGAAAACGATCGAGAAGATACCCAAAAGCAAGGTGGAAAGTGTGGGAGTGGCCGGAAAAGTGAGTGATGACGACAAGTAGGGTATGGGTTTTGTAGAGGAGGTCGTGGCGAGTCCAACAATGGTCTTTGAGGTTATTTTGGAGTTTGAGATTGGTCGAAAAAAGCTAAAATCCGGTGGATTGGGTGATGCAGTGGCGAATCTACATACATGAGAAGGGGCCTTAGTGTCACTAATTTCACGTGAAAGAACATTGGAAATGTCTTGGGTTTATAAAAAAGGGAGTCTCTCTACCTAATGGGTTAGCCTTTTAGGTGTGAAAGTTCTAGCCCGTGATAATTCATCTAATGGGTTAGGTTTTTGAGTGTGAAACCCCCATCCGTGACAGTCCATCTAATGGGTTAGCTTTTTGGGTGTGAAACCCCTGCCCGTGACATTAGGCCCTGAAATTTAAAAACTCAAAAGAAACCCTTTAATTTCGTAATTAATCACATTGTGCCCCCCATAACAAAGAAATTTCTTTAATATTTTTCTTTATTTTATATTTGAAAATATTATATATCTTATTTTGCAGTACTTATTTTTATATCATACACTAATTCATCTTTTATTTTTCTATTTTTATTTTATTAAACTATTATCATAATTCAAATAAAATATCATTAAAGAGCTTTAATAGACCTATCATAATCATAATTTAGTTTCTAATTTCGTTTCATTACTATTATTATTTTATTTTTAAAGAATATTACATGTACCAAAATTAGTTCCTTATAATATTATACAAAATATCATATTTAAAATTTTAATACTAAAAACATGAATCTAAACACAACGACAAAAGACCTTAACCACATATTTTTATGAAAAATGCTATCCTTACAAAGACCCATACAAAGAGGGCTGCAAAGTGACATCATCCAGAAGAAAAAAACAAAGAAAAAACGGAAAAAGAGAAAGAAAAAGAGAGATAAATCATGAAAATCAAGGGTGGGGATTGTCTTTGTATGCCCCCTTTTTATGTGTCTTTGTAAAACTAGCATTGCTCTATTTTTATTACATTTGTGTAACGAAAGAGGGTTCAAGGTTATTCCTGATATCCCGAGGGTTTATAGTATATTAGAGAAAGCTTGGCGGGTTTAGAGTTTTGTTTCCCTGTTTCAAAATATTTTATTCATATTCTGAAAAAAAATGCGCGTTTGTTTCAGTATTCTCAAAATCATATTCTATAATATTCAACTATTTTAAACCCCCGTAGGTTTGTTAATTTAACTAAACACCCCCAATAATTTTTTTTTTTTTTTATAAATTGACAAAAACACTCCCACCACTCACATTTGTCAGATTCCGATAACCATTGTCGAAAGGTAGTCGAAATCTGGCGTAATAGGGCACTACCGATTGGATCTGGCCGCCAGATCCATGGTGGATCTAGCCAAAAAAGGCTAGATCCACGACCAAATATCTGGCCGTCAATGGCCACATCTGGCCATCAATGACAGTTAATATATGGTCGTCGTTGACGGTCAACGACGACCATATCTTTGGTCGTTATTGATGGCCAGATTCGGCCATAGATCTAGTCTTTTCTAGCAAAATTCATGGTAGATTTGGTCAGAAAAGGCCATAGCGGTGCACAACCGGTCAGATCTAGCCTATCGTGCATAATGACACCAGATTCCGGCAGTGATAGCCAAAATATAGCAAACTATGGGTGGGTGGGGGTGTTTTTGTCAATTTATAAACTTTTTATTATTGGGGGTGTTTAGCTAAACTAACAAACCTAGGGGTGTTTTTTGTTAATTTTTAAATCATATCTTGTAATAATAACCCAACTCAACTTAACAATAATATTTCAAAAATACTATTC